TTTTTTTCATGAATATATGGTTGACCTGAAGAATGAAAGCTATATCATACACTTGGAAAATTATGAGCTATATCAGCGCTTATCGACACTTAGGGGTATGACAATACACTTGGCTCACGAGATGAGACAAAATACAGATACTTGGTTCACTAGAACGAGACAATATTTTAATACTATTTTAATAAGAAATTTTCTTTGACAAAATATTTGTCTTTTAATTACAAAAAGTAAAACAATGCAGTTGTATTTTGAAATATTTGAACTAATCTAGGGCTGTAACTAATGATTATTTTGTTAATCAAGAAATCTACTGATTATTTTGACAATTGAGTAATCTGATATTTTTTAGTAACACAAATAGACCTAAGTGAAAACCAGGCTTTAGCATGACTATTTATATATAAACGATGAGGCAATAATAATTGGCTCAAATAAAATATCAAAACCAAGTAATTACATGGTTTTATTGAACAACACTGTTAAAATACATAATGTAATATGCCTATACATAATATGAACATAACCGACTTAAGTATATGATGTATTATAACAAATACCTGCAGAGGGCGCCAACGGCCTGGTGACGTTTCAATTTACAGCTTGATTAAACAATGTTTAAATCCATTTAATATTTGGCCACATGCAAACTCAGAAACCTTTATTTTGAAATCGCGATGTACAATAAACGCCATATTTAGACATAGGCTGATGTATTCTCCTGTGTTGGCAAAGGTTTATAAATGATTTGTTACAAATCTAGTGAGATAATGCACACAGTTTTCCCAGATGAATGTTAAGCAATTCAAATTCATGGCATATGCAGAGGAAGAGTTTAGCCCCTTTCACACAAACAGTACTGGTAAATTACCAGTAAGTTACCATTAAGAGATCATGTGCGAACAGGACCTTTTCAAAAATACCGGTAAATTTGTTCTGCTAATCATATCGTTCTTAAGGAGATGACATGATTACTCTGAGCTGTTTACAAAGCTCCGCTGCTTTTTAATTCGTTTTTCTATGTAAATATGCGCTAGATGGACATATTTGACCATTGCGCCTCGCAGCTTTTTCAACGTGTCGCGCTTCTCCATTCACCAGGGCTGCGACTTTGAAGCCCTGTAGTTGCCAAAAGTCAGAGCCAGTCTGCAGATTTGAGTTGACAGATTTCAAAGAAAATTTTGAAGTGTATGTGGGCACATTTGGAGAATATCTAACCTGTTTACAATTTTGAGCTGATTTTAGAACACATTGTTTACATTTGTCAAGTGTCTCCTAGCATCAAGAGGCATGTTCTGCATGAGTTTGTTGTGAAAGTCTTACATTGTCTCCTCCTCCAGTCCCATCAGCTGTCTCCTGATCATCATCAGTTTGTCTGTCACATTGTGGATGTGTTGAATCCTCTGCATTAAATCCCCGATCACCTGCAGGAAAACACAATGCTCTTGTTTTCCTGATAAATGAGGCAGACAGGGCTGCTGTTCACAAAGTCTGCAGCTGACACATCGGCCAACCAGCTTTCATTCACAACAACACGAGTATTTCTCTCACACACTGGCAGCTTTTTACACTGTTCTCACCCTGACTAGAGTGGAGAAGAGCGATCGCGCTTCAGGGCTCAGGCTGATGTACGGGTCCAGCAGGTACTCGTGCAGGTGAGGGTGAGGAAGCACAGCTAACTTGGACAGAACTGACGTCACCTGAAGATTCAGCTCATACGGCTGGCAGAGGGAAACAAATTGAGAAATACAGTGAAAGAAAAAGATTTCACTGTAAAGATTTCTTTTTTTAAACTAAATTAACTAAAATTTTTCAAATTCATTGATTATACATTTCATTTACAGGTCCTATGAAGTATTAAGATAAGCTATCAAACTTTTTGAATGCACTTCAGCCATCTATCCTGACAAAAAGTTTTGCACGTTTTACCATTCTGCATGCAATGCTGAAAGCAAAATGAAGACAAGATCAAATGAAAATCTGTTTTGGTCTACTACTCTACCTGCTCTAGTATGCGTCCAATCCGGTCAAACAGGATTTGCAGGAAGCGCCCTTCATAGAAGTCTGTAGCTGGGTTGGTTTCAGTGGTTTTGGCAGAATCTGGCCAGTTCCAGTCCCGTGAAAGAGCAATACATTCTTTTAACTAATGAGAGAAAGAGAGGACAGTTTCAGTGTCAGAATATTTGAAAACCAAACCGAAAAAACTGTTTTTGCTCACAGCTGACAGTTGCTGTACATTTGGCTTGACTTATTGCATGAGGTAAAACTACACAGTAACACACATGACAGGAGTATGAAACATAAAAACACTGGCTTTTATTTAGTTTTTTGTTTTCAGTGTGTCAACTCACCAGTTTGTGTGCATCATGAACATATGTGTCATATCCTGCTCCCTGCACCAGATGGGATGTTTTTGCTTCTTGGGGCACTAAACACAAGAAGCTAATAAAATTAAAAACAAATTAGAATCAACGTATAGACTAGTAATCGACCAACATCACACATATAATCAAGACCAAATAACTATATGATATTTGACCACTCTCAAAATATGGGAATGTGTCGATATCTGTGTCATATCAGCCAAGAATGTAGTGTCATACTTGACAAGAACAAGAATATGTGTGTGTATATACATATATACATACATACACTACCGTTCAAAAGTTTGGGATCAGAACGATTTTTTATGTTTTTTAAAGAAGTCTCTTATGCTCATCAAGGCTGCATTTATTTGATCAAAAATACAGGAATAAATGTAATATTGTGAAATATTATTACGATAATGTTTTTCTATTTTAATATACATTCAAATGTAATTTATTCCTGTGATGCAAATCTGAATGTTCAGCATCATTACTTCAGTCTTCAGTGTCACATGATGATGATCCTTTAGAAATCATTCTAATATGCTGATTTATTATCAGTGCTGGAAACTGTTGTAATGCTTAATCATTTTTTGGAACCTGTGATACTTTTTTCAGGATTCTTTGATGAATAAAAACTTTTTATTCATCAAAGAATCCTGAAAAAAGTGTTGCGGTTTCCAAAAAAAAAATTTGGCAGCACAACTGTTGGCAACATTGATAATTATATTAATAAATCAGCATATCAGAATGATTTCTTAAGGATCATGTGACACTTTATACTGGAGTAATGGCTGATGGAAATTCAACTTTGCATCACAGAAATAAATGATATTTTAAAAGAATATTAAAATAGAAACCATTATTTTATATTGTAATAACATTTTGCAAGATTACTGTTTTTTTCTGTATTTTTGATCAAATAAATGCAGCCTTGATGAGCATAAGAGACTTCATTAAAAAAAAGTCTTACCGATCCCAAACTTTTGAACGGTAGTGTACACACACACACACACGTGTTTATATGTATTTATAGTAAACTTTAAACATTTTACAATTTTCATTCTTTGATACATAGAACGCTTAAAACAGCAGCATTTCTTTGAAATATAAGTGTTTTGTAATATTACAATTTTTTTTTACTTTTAATCAATTCAATGCATGCAAAAGTATTAATTAATAAAAATTCACAGGTTTTGGTTGAAGATCTGCTGAACTTTAGTGTAACAATACGGAAAAATACAGAAAGGCAGACTGGGCACAAACACTTTTTCACAGTACTGTAAGTGCAGTACAGTAATGATGCTATTATGAACTTTAAAAATTCTGTTTTTGTATTACAAACCAAAAAGTTAATTGTCTTCTAAAGATACCTATTGACGATGTCAGCAACTTGTGTGTGCTCACTGGGATTACGTCTCTCTCTGACACTGGGCAGAGAAAGAAGAGGCTCCTGGCCTCCGAACCCACTGTCTTCATACATGTCTGTGAAGAAGGGATCCTCTTCCAGCTCCCTGATGGAGAAACACAATGAGAGATCAACGATAAGCCACCATGAGAAGAAAGAGAATCTGTGTTCAGTCTCTCTGCTCACTCAGACTCTTCCAGGACACCACTCTCGACTCCATGTCTCTCGTCTGTGACTCCTGAACCGGGCAGTCTGTAGCTGCGCTTCTCAAGGTTACGCAGCACCAGATTGGTTAAGATGCTCTTGCTGGGCTTCTGTAGAAGCTCCTCAAAGAGACGTAGCGTTGTGATACTGATCTAACAAAAGGCAAAAGAAACATTGTAACACACAGTGATGCTCTCTCAACAGTGAAAATATGTTAATCATTTAGCCCAGTTACCTCGTCTGAGATGTGATTGCAGTGTTCAATAAGGCGGTAACGTAGAATGTGTGAATGCGTGTCCTGTCGCTGTTCACAATGTGTGTCGCTGCCCAGCAGAAACTGAACCAGTTCCTCCAGGAGCGCAGGAGAACGTATGTGACGTACAGAACAGGAAAGCAGAGCGGTGTGTACCAGGATCCCAACCTCTGACCTGGACGACCAGAGTTTAAAAATGAGCATTACTCTTCCTGTCATGCTGCAAGCTCACAATTCTGATTAATGTGTTCTACTCACATCTGAAACAGATGAGGCTGAATGACTCCTTTAAGCCACTGAAGGTGAATTGCTTTGGCCATTTTAACACCAAGTACCTACAGGGAAAAAAATACATATGCATAATTATGTGCAATATGTTTATAATCATTATGACACAATTTTCATACCATAAATCTTAATTATTAAAAAGTACATAAAAAAACAAATACAACTTAAAAAAACAATCTTCAAACATCACATAAACAAAACTAAGCAAAAACAAAATAACAAAACAAAAAAACTTTTTTTTTAAGTAAAAAACTAAAACAAATACAACTTCTTTAAAATAGCCTTCAAACATCACAAAAACAAAAAGCAAAACCAAAATAACAAAGCAAAAACTTAATTAAAAAATATATATAAAAGTAAAAAATAAATACAACTTATTTAAAACAGCCTTCAAACAAAACAAAACAACAAGCATAAAAACAAAAAACATGAAAAATCATAATTACAACACGGAAACATGTCAAAAAGGTTAACTTTAACCACGAAACCAGATCGACCGACCTGTAAGGTTACACTCTCACTCAAAGGATGGACAATCTGACAGGATTGTTACAATGAGGTGGATCACATCTAACTTGTATAGTAAAGACAAACTCACCGTGTCTATCTAACTTAGTTATGATGAAGATGTATATACATTTCAATTTCAGCAGGAAACTATTTTTACAGCTACATTATTGTTCCAGCCACAATTAATCACAACAATGTATATACAATTACAAAT